CATGAGTTTACATATCATTAAGATTGTTGTCGAACAATTAGACTGACTCATTGCGAAACCAGACCAGCGCAAAATCCACTAGTAGAGACAGCAACAAAATAATATCGCAGGTGATGCGTATGTATCATAGTCAGCGGTCAACAGATAACCTAGAAATCAAACAATGTAACTCATCTACTTCGCCACACTTTGGTTATCGCTAATCAATGTTTATCTATGCATAACGCATACATACTTAGTTTTCTCTTTTACGTGTAAAGCAGCGGTTGAATTTCTCTCGTTCTGCTTTGCTGTAGATTCTTGATCATTCGCATTAAGATCATAGATACTTGTGATTAGTGGTGTGGGATAATTGACATTGATTGATTTGAACTGACTATCCTTCGGACTTCACCTTCACACACAATTCTCAGTTAAATGAAAAAAATGCCCATTGCCACATTGAAAACAAAGTCCGGTAGGCGAAACAAGCTGTTTTTCGATAAATTCATCAACGGGCCATTACAATTATAGCTATCCAAACAGTGTCCCCCCACCCCATCCCTGTGCAACCAAAAGCAGTACGTTCGGGCTTTAACCTTGCTGTGGCCTCGGATGAAGAAATCCACTCCCACCCACCCGGGGGACGCACCAACGAACTAATCGAGATAAACATCAGGTAAACAATCCTAGCACACACTCTGTACTTAGTCTGATGCGATCAAAACCAGATCGACGAACCCAATTAATCGTTTAGAAGTGTAATGGCTCGTTGATGAATTTATCGAAAAACAGCTTGTTTCGCCTACCGGACTTTGTTTTCAATCCTCAGTTAATCGATTCAATCATACACTGGGTTGGCACAGTGGTAACAAACACACCTTCCATGCGATGGGTCTGGAATTCAAATCCTGGACGGGACCGCAGATAACCACTACTGATGAGCTCTAATAAGAGCGAATCTCCAGTCTAGTGCTTCCCACTGTTTAGTTGAATGGATGGGCTGAGGATTGTTCGTGAAGGTGAAGTCCGAATGATAGTCAGTTCAAATCAATCAAAATCGTTGATCACGAAAAAATGGAATAAATTTTGCATGAAAGTACGTTATGATACCAGAGCGATTTACATGGGTTTTACGATGCTACTTGATACATGCTATACATCAAATACAAGAATTTAGTGAATAAAAATGGATTTAGGCAATGAGTGGAAGGCGATCGATTCAAAGGTTCAGGTTCGATCACCAATCATATAAATCAACCCCATCGGAGGTCTGCGTGATTTACCTAAGGGCTTAAACTACTGGTTTCCACTATCGAATAGCGGGTGTTCGAAATCGTGAGATTCACCGTGGCCACTACTCATTACAATACAGTGTGCATATGTGTACTCTCAAGGTGAACGGTTTTAGCGACGAAAGACGATTGGAATTGGGAAGGTAGAGGCACACCGATTATCAATAGGCAAATCAGAGCACTCACGTTTTATTCGTGTTAAGCTTTCAACATCAGTAAATGAGAGAAAAGGATGTTACACTACAGTTGGGAGCAATAACGGACAACCATGAGGGAGACGAGCAATCGAAAATGGATAAAATTAAAGACTGATGGTCAGTAAATCGGAAATTTTCGTCGGAACTAAGGTTTACCGTGACCTCATCGAGATACACAATCGGAAAATCACAAGCAGTGCAATGACGAATTATGATTGCAAACGGAAAAAAGAAATGAGATAAAAATGACACTCTGAGACATACCGGAGTTCACAGAGAACGGATCAGATTAAGAACCATTGTAAGAACTAAATAAGGTTCTCCCAAACAAGTAGTCTTGAACATATGAGAGCAACGGTGTCAGTAGTTCTACAGTTTGTTGCGAAAAAACCAGCTGGGACCTATTCAAGTGGTTGAAAGCATTACTAAACTCAAGGAAACTGAGTGAATGATTTTATCAATAGCGCCTAAAGTGGGTCGTTCGCGCCGGTACGCAAGCTGATCGTTGTCCGTAAAAATCGATTTGCGTTCGACCGGGTAAAATACACATACATTTCCTTACCCTTCCCTCTCCACCCCCTTACAACAAACATCATCCGAACCGAATAATTATGTTCTCTCTCTTCTCTGAGAAAGCACCACTATACGTTCCAGCACAGAACAACATTACGAGATCATGGTAGCTGACGAGCTTGAAGTAAGACACTAACATTTGTCATCAAAAGGAAATACATTATCAGCTATCTCCTCAGTTTTCGTCTCCGGTTCACTGGTAACTTTCCTTCCATGTTTTCTCTCTCAGGAATGCATTTTAGGCACCAATTTAGTGAGTGATACGGCGAATGATTATTTTGTAAGGCACGATTACTGTGTACAACGGGGTGGGATAGTGTACCCAGGCCCAAGTAAATAGAACTTCTTCAGATAGAAATATGCAATTCAATAATTTACATGAGTCTAATAAACGGAGCCCTACACGTTGTTCAACAGAAGAGGTGAATGATATTAGAACAGTTAACAATAGTCAACTCACCGACGAGCGAAACGATGGACAGGAATGTTCCATTTGGACCAGAAAGCCGGTACAGTTTCCGCATTCCTAACGACATAGGAAAATGAGACATGTCAAATCAAACCAATATTTAAATTTTAAAAATATCTGATGCTGAATTCACAAAACCAAACCGCATCCCACATGCAGTAAAAAAACCGAGAAGCAGTAACACAACGAGATGTGGAGACAAAAATAACAGTTCGTGATGTGACCGAATTCGGTAAAAAAAACAGTTCACAGATACCAGAGGCCAAAAACAAGATGAAGCATGCTGCCCAGCCACCATAAACCAGTGGTGGCGAATGACAAAAGAATCAATCGAAAGCAGTTAAAAGCGACGATCGATGAATAGAACTGATTCGGATCCTGGAAACTTTGGAAGCTTCTTCCAAGCTGCTACCAGTAGGAGTGCGACACTTATAAAACATTTTACAAGATTCGTGTAGGACACTCACGGTTCACACAGTTAATATCGGACAGAAAACTCTGCATAACGCACAGGATTACGTTCGATGAAGCACTAATCCTAAAGAAAAAAGTACGATTCATTTTAATACACGAACCCCTCACTCTCTTGGAAGTGAGCTTTGAATTGGAACAAACGAAAAAGGATTTCCAAAAGCACAAACGAAAGCAGTGCGATATTGCTTTATATACTTCATCAACTGCTCTCACTGGACCTATCGCGTATTGTTTGTATGAGTCTCGTGCTTCAGATTATCGACCGAAGGGTAAAGCCTACTCTACTATTCGAAAAAATATAGCGCTTTCATTATCAGAAAAAGAAGACGGAATGGACA